ATGTTATTACACAACCATCAGCCCCATAACCATAACCATAAACTACACAATCATAACAAAAAATAGTCCACAATGATGGATAACATCAGCCCCAAAAAATGTTATTACCAGCTATTACCAAAAAACAGTCCACAATGACCACAAGTTACCAAAAACTACACATCAGCCATAACCATAACCATAAACTACACAACCATAACAAAAAACAGTCCACAATGATGCATAACATTAGCCCCAAAAAATGCTATTACCAGCTATTACAAAAAAACAGTCCACAGTGACCACAAGTTACCAAAAACTACAGATAAGCCGTAACCATAACCATAAACTACACAACTATAACAAAAAATAGTCCACAATGATGCATAACATCAGCCCAAAAAAATGCTATTACCAGCTATTACCAAAAAACAGTCCACAGTGACCACAAGTTACCCAAAAACAGGTCACATCAGCCCCAAAAAATGCTATTATAAAAAATAGTCCACAATGATGCATAACATCAGCCCCAAAATCAATAAGTTAAAGGATCAGAATGGCAACAGTTCACATTAGTATTGTAATTCAATTATTCGTATGAGAACGATGCATTACCAGCTATTACTACCAGATGCATTTCCATTGCCTTGGTTCTTGGACTGCAATTCTACTCGTAAAGGCTTAAGGAGTTCCTGCATTTCAAGCTGCTGGTTTTGCATTTCAGCTTGTTGATTCTCAAGCCTTTGCATCAGCTGCTGTTGAGATTGGACTTGAACTTCCAATTCAACTGATCGTTTCTCAGCTTGTTCTGCCCTTTTCTTGAATTCTTCTATCTCTGCAAGTTTTTGTGTAATTAAACTAGCCTTGGAGGGGCCACGACCACGTACATATCCAGTTATACGCCCAGTCACCTCAATACAGATGTCTTCTTCGGTTCGATTTACACCACTAGATTGAGCTTCTAGCTGTAACTCCTTCATTTTGCTCTACAATCACAGGTTTGCTATTATTGATATATGCATAAGAGACATGAAGCATTGGTATTTAGTTGAAAGTGATATTTTTCTTACCAGTTTTTCAGCTGATGTCTCGTCAACTATAACATTCTTCTTTCGACTAAAATGTGTCATGTCATAAAGTTCAATTGGTCCAACTGTCCTTCCATCCTTAGCTTCCTATTAGCAAAACAGGTTAAATAACCCAACCACACATCATAAATGAACTACTTTACACGTTTACTGACCCGGTCATCCTTATGACGTAAAAATGATTTTGTTCCAGCTGTATGGGCAGTTTGCTGCTTTGATCTGTTCAGCTTATTTCGCTCACTTAAGGCCTACAATTGTCAATTCTATCTCAGATCTAGATAAAAAAGAGACATTGGCAAAATATATAGCAAATTAACAAGTATGTGCTACACATACCTTGAATTCTGGACTACAATAGTAATCGCAAAGGTAAATCCAATCTGATTCTTCCACATATTCTGGTCGACGTGCAAGAGCTTCCTCCTTAGAGCCACATTTTTTGAATAGCATGTGAAAATTATAACGTCGACTTCTATACTGTGAATTTAATTGCTTAATTAAAGCTGGTTTCACATGCTCTCCTCCATCATAAGTGAAACTATTCTGAATTAAAAATAGAAGGACATATCAAAATCAGAAAAAATTAATGGACTAATTTAAATTGCGTCTAGAAAACCAAAAAATACTATGATAGCAGATTCTTACATTAGTAATTCTTAGCAGTTGATCTCTATCATCTTTAGGAAGCTTGCCCCATTTAGGTGCTTTCCACTTGCCATACTTTCGAATAACGTAGCTTGCCTCTGAAATGTATCGCTGAGCACCTTCTCCAACTAGTCTTCCACTTATTTCAGAAACAGTAATGTTCACCTTTTTTTCAGCTTTCTTTTCATTTGATAGTGCAATATTACGCGTATATCCTCTTTTTCTTTTTAACGTCACTTGGTCTAGTAGATACAAAGTAAACAAGACCATAAGTGCTAACAATAGCAGCCATGGCAGTAATTAGTTAATTAGAGTAGAATTACACGTAAAACTGACATACCTGAACCATTTGACTCAAGGTCTTGCATACTTTCAGTTTCATTGCTTTCACAACCAATAGCTTGATTAGATCCAACATGCTGTGAAGTAGGAGTTCCATCAGTTTGCATCCCAACAGCTTCTTGTGATGTCATTCCATTGCCTGAAGATTTTTCAGCAATCTGTCTACTCTCAGCTTGTATACCTGAATTTCTTGTAGCATTTTCTCTAGCAGAGGATGCACTAGGAATCTATAATCCAGCAATTTAAGCCACCATTATACAGCGACATGTAAAAGTTGAATCAATTGCTTTGTCATAAACCAGTTTATCTAAATGGCAGATTGAAAAAAATAATAACTAACCTCAGATTCATCAAATAGACGGATCCTAGAAGACTTTTTTGTTAATACAGGTTCAGTGACATTGCTTGTCTTGGGAATTGCACTATTTTTTGGTTCACTAGCTTGCTACAATAACATAAGAATGCACTTATCAATAGCAACTAGTTTAGGATGATAATTGCTAGTTTAGGAAAAAAGAAAATATCTGGAAATGACTCTTGTTTCTTTACCTGACAGCTTACATTTTCTTCAGTTTGCTCCACAATTCCTCGCCCAGCATCCCGACTTTGTCGTAAAGTAAATTTTTCCTTTTTCCCCGGTCCAGCCATCTATCTACATAATCATATAACGCAAGCACCACCAAAATCGTAAACAACACAAGCAGCCATGACAACATATCATAAACTACAAAAAAAATACAAGAAAAAATTGCTATTAAGAAATTCAATGAACAACATTGTTTAATCTGATTCATAGTCATCGATTTGTACAAATTGTTCATTTTCATCCTCAGAATTGAATTGTTGCTCAATTTCCTCATCATTATCAATAAAATTGTCATCCAATTGCCTTGCACGGCTAGCTGACAATTCTATAAAAAATATAGCACCAGCCTCTATCCTTTCTTCAGTTTGCACATCTCCTCTCTTCAAACTGACCAACTCAAGATTTTCTTGTACACCAATCAAATCTTCATGATACTCTTCTTGGTAAGCCTCTTCGTTATCAACCAAATCATCTTCATGCTTCTCAGGAACATCATAAGATGAGCGTGGACTAACTAACTCTACAACAGGCCAATTACCTCCAAGCTTCATATCTTGAAGATAGAAAACTTGTTCAGCTTGGGATGCTAATATAAAAGGCTGGTCTGAGTACCATGTTTTTGACATGTTGATGCTAGTGATATTGCTCTGCTTGTCTACTTTGATTCCCGAATTATTTCTCAAGTCCCACCAATCACATTTAAACACAACTACTCGATTTTGAGTAAATGAGTATTCAACCTCAACTATATCAGTAATTATACCATAGAAGTATGTTTCTTTATCAGCATGCTCCCTCTTTACCATAACTCCACTATTTTGTGTCTTTCTTTCTCTTTCCCGAGCCTTAATGTGGAATCTAAATCCATTCACATTACAGCCAGCAAATGTATTGACTCGAAAATCAGGTCCTCTAGCCAAGGACAACAATTCAACAGTACATTCTCCACGTGCATGTGTATACATGACCTACATCAGTCATACCAGATTCTTTAATAGTTTACTAAAATAAAAAGTAAAGGAAATTGACAAGTTTTTAACATCTCTTCCAATACTTACACGTTCTTCAAACCACTTTGGAAACTCCGAGTCTAGCCTTTGCTGTACGCTCGATAAATTTTGCTTTTCAAGAATTTGTCTATACTCCCTAAATTTGTAGTAGTAGAAGTAGTTACATATTCTATCAAATGACTTTAATTACAAGCAATGAAGAACATATTATAGAACACGGCATAGATTTAGCATTAAAGTATATTATTACCTCATGTAATCATCTACTTCTTCACAATTTTTCAAGATGAACAGGTGTATTCTTTGCAATTCAACCTCACTTAGACAACCAATCAGTGCTGCCCCAAAGGGCCGAGCCAAGCTAGAAAATATAGATAATTTTCCAGCAGTTTCGTGTTTCTCCATATTTCGTTCCGTTTGATTAAACCTGGTCAGAACATCATGCAAATACCTGGAAATGAATGTAAGACATTCATCATCCAAGTAGCGCTCAGCTATACAGCCTTCAGGTCGTGCCCTATTATTCACATAGCCTTTGTATTGACCCATTTTTCTATCCAAAAAAAATTCAGCCCGAGTTGTTAGAAAATAAGAAAATTGGAGGTAAATCAAATAGGCATTATTAAAAATAAAAGGCATGTACCTCTCAAATGGAAACATCTACCGGTATTGGGCTGGTCCAGCAATCTTGGATTCAGTGGGTAAATGGACCATTAAATGGACCATTACATCAAAGAAATTTGGAGGAAAAATTTTCTCAAGTTTGCATAGTATTAAAATAATATTTTTTTCCTGCATTTCCAGCTCATCTAGATAGAGAGCTCGAGAAAAAATTTTTCGAAAAAAATTGCTGATCTCTACTAAAATCTGAGACACGTCTTTTGACAGCAGTCCTCTAGTTGCTAGTGGAAGAAGTCGTTGTATGAACACATAGTAGTCATGACTCTTCATTCCTAAAAGTTGACACTCCTTGGTCTTCACACACCGAGGAATGTTTGAAGCAAAGCCATCTGGGAACTTGATAGTGCTCAAAAACTGGCAGAAATTCTTTTTCTCTAGGCGTGATAAAGTGTAACATGCAGGTGGCATAACTTTAGATGCGCCACCTCCCGGTTGTAGATGCAACTCTTCCCTTAATCCCATTTCTTTTAAATCCTCCCTAGCCTGCCATGTGTCCTTAGTTCTCGAAGGGATATTCATTAATGTACCTACCAAAGATTCACATACATTCTTGACAATGTGCATAATATCCAAATTATGTCTAATTTTATTGCTACTCCAATATGGCAGTTCAAAGAATATGCTCATCTTCTTCCAATTTGAACTGTTCTGCACGCGTTTTCTTTTCTTCTATTGCAGCAAATCAGGTGCCTTGCCAAACTCAACTTGCTCAATACGAAGAAGTTGTTGGAGGACTTCCTCACCTGATAGGGTCCTAGGAGGCTGTCTATGTTCTCTTTCTCCATTAAATTGCTTTTTTTCTCGACGCCATTTATGATCAATAGGCAGAAAACGGCGATGGCCCATGTAACAACATTTGTGACAATTATTAAGATATAGACTAGTCGTCTCATCTAAGCACATAGGATATGCCTTGTACCCTTTTGTACTCCATCCCGACAAATAGCCATATGCTGGAAAATCGTTTATTGTCCACAAAAGTGCTGCACGTAACATGAACTTCTCCTCCCTGAAGGCATCATATGTCTTCACACCAGTGGCAAATAACTCTTTTAACTCATCAACTAGTGGTCTAAAGAATATGTCAATATCATTTCCATGTGCTTTGGGACCAGGAATAATCATTGATAGGAAAAAAAATGGATCTTTTAAGCATTTCCAAGGAGGTAGATTGTAAGGAACAAAGATAACAGGCCATATACTGTATGAATTGCTCATGGTTCCAAAGGGATTAAAGCCATCACTAGCAAGTCCTAGCCTCACATTTCTAGGATCTTCAGCGAAGGACTTGTGATTTCTATCAAAATCCTTCCAAGCTAATGAATCAGCAGGGTGTCGTATCATGTTCTCATTATCTACACGTCTCTCCTTATGCCACCTCATATCCCGAGCAATCTCTTTGTTCACAAACAGTCTTTGCAGCCTTGGTTTTAATGGAAAATAACGCAACACCTTTCTAGGTATTTTGGAATTTGGAGATTTATACCGCGGTGCTTTACATTTTTCATTTGGACAATGATCAAGGCCTTTATTTTCATTCCAAAAAAGTGCGCAATCATTTTCACAGGCGTGGATCTTTTCACACTTCAGCCCCAACTCACGGATGAAATTTTTTGCCTCGTAATATAAACTGGGAATCAAAGCTGTAGGAAATACTTGATGCAAGAACTTCAGCAACATATCAGTAGATTTACAAGTCCACCGATTCATTGTTTTCAAGCGGAGGATATGGACAATAAACGAGAGTTTTGAATACTTTTCACAGCCCGGGTATAGAGATTTTTCAGCCTCCGATAATAATTTGAGAAACCTACTTGCTTCTCCTTCTTTCTCGGTACAAGCACCCGTATCAAGTTCCGGTGAATGTCTCCAATTCTCACCAAAGTTAGCAACTCCTACATCATTTAACAGCTCCTCCATACTGTCAAAGTCACTATCGTTGTCATTTATTTCTATGTCATCATTCTCATCATCAGATTCAAATCCTTCGCCATGATATATCCACCTAGTATAACTATCAACAATTCCTCGACACAAGTGATTGGCCATGACTTCCTTAGTTTGATCCTCAAAATTATTGCATACTTTGTAAGGACATGGCAGTTTACAATTAGGATCCTTGCCTAGAAAAGCAAACTTAATAAATTCATCAACTCCATCTAAATACTTGAGGTCTAGGTAGTTCTTAATAGACATCCAACTCCTATCCATATTGTTGCAGCCCTTTATCCTACCATAAAGAATATGAGCGCCACATTATATAGAAAATAAATGCAATGTAATATGAACTAAATTTAAACTCCTCAAATACCAGCAATGGGATCCAAGGTGTAAAACACATTTTTAGCAAAAATCAACCATCTCAAGTACAAATGCATTAGTAAGGCAACAAACTAAATAGAATCTGCAGCCACAGTATACATGCAATATACATGCAAAAGTTTGGCAAACAAAAGATAAAGCCATAACATGAACAATCAATTTCATAGGCTGATTTTGTTAGCTAACAGCACACTACATGTTCAAAAAACATAGGATCAGGCATCATATATTTGTAAAGGGAAGATGCCCAACGCAGAAATAATAGAAGAGTAAAGCACAAATATAAATTTCAAGCCTGAATAATGGTAAGAAGGAACAGTACCTGAAACTCAGACCACTCAATTGGTTTCCTTTTCCTACCAAGAACAGGAGCTATTTGCAATCTTAGCACTTCTCCAGATGCAGCAGTATGTGCCTTTACAAGAACCTCCTTATATCTGGTCTGAAATGCAACTAGGAGAAAACGTCCAGTGCTTTTGTCACCAACCCTGTTTATCAAGAATATCCCCAATTATATGGTAAGCCACTAATGTCTTGTATAATTAGTGGTAGGAATTAAGTCTTCAGATTTAATTCTAGAGAGAGAGAGAGAGAGAGAGAGAGAGCGAGAGATTAAAGTATGTGAGTTTGATTGAAGCAATAATAATTTCTAGAAGATATTTTCATCTATCTCATGTGTCGGTTCATTTAAGGCTAGGAAACTGATTCGCAGCAGAAATTTATTCACATGTTCAGATGTAAAATAACTCACACAGTCAACTTACTAGAGTTATGTTTTCTTTCTTCTGTTTTCTATTTTAAATGCCATTTTTCCCACCCTGAACCTTGAGATACAACCAGAAAAGTATATCTGGAGAATTGTCCGTTCCTTTGTTTATTGTTCTCTAAATCAGACTCCAAAAAAAAAAAAGACTCCAAAATCGAATTTCCACAAAGAAAAGAAAGCCTATAAACTACTGGTTTTTGTAACACAACCTTTGCATTCATTTGGGTTGCTTTTACATACCCTGCCCAATGTCCAGAAAGAATAAATCGTCGCAGTAAACAAGTAAACGGTTTTCAGTTATAGATGCCCCCTAGTGACTTGTCGGTCGGTGGTTACGTTGTGCTTACGCTAAAATCTACCTCGATGTGAAAAATGAAAAGCCAAAATTGAAGCCTCAACAATTTAAAGCTCCCCTGTGCTTCCTCGACATAAATAGAGGGGGCAAAAGATTGGAAAAAAAAAGGAGAGAAGAAAATGTAGTAGCATGGCTAACAATTTGATAGATGTTTAAGACTCGAATAGATAGCTTCTCAAACCTGATCGATGCACCAATCAAGCGGACTCCTCTTCGAAATAACGGACATCCAACTCAACGACCAATCACGCTTGCAGAAATGAACTTGAAACAAATCAGCCACAGGTTAGATGAATCGAGTCGAGCGGGGGGAGTTTCGAGTACAACATAGCTATGATAGCATCTAATAATCAAGAGCTGCTAAAAGATTTAAGGGCAGAAATTTGCAAAAAATATTGTAGAATATTAGGGATTTGGAAAAATTGGGGAAAATGTATAGGAGAGAGAAAAATGAACCTTTCCAATGAAAACCTTGCCTTTTAATGCTGGACAGCCATGGTGATGCTAGTGAGAAGCCAGAGAACGGATTTGTTGTGTGGGTGAAAGTATCAGGTGCCGTGCGGAAGCTCTGTTTTGTGCTCAGTGCAGAAGCTTGTTTGTTTCAGCTCGGTGAAAGTTTGTGTTGCTCAAGTGTTCCGTTGCTTTAACTCAGACCAAGTGTTCCGTTGCTTTTGTTTTCAGAATGTGTTCCGCTGCTTTGGTCTTTGCTTTGCTTTGGATATTGTTTTTGTTGCGCGGCACTTTCACTATGATTTGATCAAAATTTTGACCTCACTCATTTTCCCTCCATTTGATACCAAAAATCACATGTTTTTTTCTGGATTTGTAATATGGTTTGAACCATAGATTTTAATGCTATAGTATTATTCTTTATTTTTTAGCAAAAAATAAAAATTTTCATCAACATAGGTGGCAAAATTTGTTAATTTCATATAATTGAAAATGTACTTTTATAATTTGCTAATATTTTATACTAATTTCTTATAATTGCAGCACTAAAGAACATCATGTAATTCAAAATAATTAAACTCAAATTATATCGTTATAACATAGTTTCAATAAAAATAATCATTTTCCCAACATTTGAGACCAATCATCATGCTTTTTTTATTTTTAATTTGGTTTGAAGCATAGATTTTATTGCTATAGTATTATTCTTTATTTTTTAGTACAAAAACACAAATTTTCATCAATATAGGTGGCAAAATTTGTTAATTACATATAAGTGAAAATATACTTTTATAATTTGCAAATATTTTAGCCCTGCAATTTTTTATAATTGCAGCACTAAAGTACATCATTAATTGAAAATAACGAAAGTCAAATTCTATGGTTATAACAGACTTTCATTAAAAATAATCAAATGCTATTAATAAGACATTATGGTTAAGTCAAAATCAAAGAAAATTTAGTGATGACATAATGTTATCACTAATTTATTCAAGATTATAATGACAAGAAAAGTCGTCACTAATTAAATTGCTAGTTTTTAATATTGTCAATTGCTAGTTTTTAATACTTTTGTGAAAATATTGATAATGGTTGGGAAAATTTTGTTACGTTACTGCAAGTGATAAATGTACTTTTGTTCTTTTTCAAACAATTATTTTAATGTTTAATTTTGTTTAAAACTATTGTACTAGTATAGATTTGCAAGACAAAACTTAAGTTCTCAATAGTTAAAAAATTCATTACAGAGAAAACACAAAGTAGTAGTTGCAAAATGTGTATAAATTACAGATATTTTAATGTGTATAAATTACAGTTTATTTTAATGTTTAATTTTGTTTGAAACTATTTTACTAGTATAGATTTGCAAGACATAGATTTATGGGTAATTTCTTTTTTTTTTGCTTTCACATATTTAATTTATGTTAAATACAAAACCTACTAGTTTTCCTTTCATAAAAATATTAGTGCAACACTTTTTGAATTTTACTTACAAACATTTATGTATTTAACATAAATTAAATGATTCAGAGTGAAATGCCCATAAAGAGCAGAATATTTGTTCACGTAATGGAGGAAACCCACAAAGAGTTGGTACTTTATGGGCCATTTCTTTTTTTAAAAAAATTTAATTTATGTTGAAAAGATAACCTACCAGTTTTCGTTTTGTAAGAAATCAGTGCAACACTTTTTGAATTTTACTTACAAACATTTATAAATTTATCATAAATTATATGTTTGAGAGTAAAATGCCCATAAAAAGTTGGTACTTTGAATAGATAATGCTCATTTGCCCATAAACTACACTCCCTGAAGGCTATTTTGTTAATTACTTTGTAGTACTTTGTTATACCTTTGCTAATACTACTTGGCATGTAGTACAAAGGATAAATCTGGCATAAATTTCTTATTCCATTGATAAAAAGAACTGCCTGCCTTATAACTATTGTAATGAAAGATATATCTTTAGAGTTTATAACAAATTATTACTTAAGTTTGAGAAAATTATAAAATATTTATGCATAGTTTATCAAGATACCATTCACAATTTCCTAATAAAAAAATAAGGGCTAAATTGTAAAAGCTAGGGTGCCATAATAGAAATAATAAAATTGGTGTATTACATATGGGGGTTAAATTGCAAAAGTTAGAGTGCCATAGTAGAATTAATGAAATTGGTGAATTACATCTGGGGCTAAATTACAAAAGTTAGGGAGTAATAATAGAATTAAAGAAATCGGTGTACTACATATGGGGCTAAATTGTAAAAGTTAAGGTATCATAATGGAATTAATGGAATTTTTTACAACATTTGGGGCTAAATCGTAAAAGTTAGGGTGGCACAGTAGAATTAATGAAAGTGACTTAGAAATAAGTACTTTAAACAGTGACGATTAATTCTTGTCACTAAATCCGAATCGGTAGAGTGACAGTGACGATATTAGAAGTTGTCACTATATAGATCATTTTAGTGACAACTTTTTCAAGGTCGTCACTGAAGACTTAGTTGCTTTGAGCAATTATGACAACTTTCCTTGTCGTCACTAAACAACCACGTTTTGTGACGACTTTTGTCGTCACTAAAAAATGTTGTCACTAATGACCATATTTCTTGCAGTGTAGTTTGTGACGAAAATAACGGGTCGTCACTAAACATTTAGTTGCTTTGATGCAATTGTGACAACTTTAGGTGTCGCGACTAAGAAGCTCCTTTTGTGACGACTTATTGTCATCACTAAAAAATGTTGTCACTAATAATTTTTTTTTTTAGTGATCAGTGACAACAACAAAAAGTCGTCCGTAAATAGTCCAAGCAATAGTGATGATGTTCTTAATATCGTCACTATTATGTGTTCTAAACACTCCCGCGTTCTTGCTAAATCTTGGCGGGAATTTACTAGTGACGATTTAGAAAAGTCGTCACAAATGAGTTGGCTCCCATTAGAGGTTTGTGATGAGTTAGAAAGTCGTCAATAAAGGATCCACTTTTGTGACAACTTTTTTTCGTCACAGAGAAAAATTGTCACTGATGACCAATTTTCTTGTAGTGTTCTTCCCTTTACTTCTGCAAAACCCTCGCCGCCACCGCTTTCTCAACCTGACCCTCGTCTGATTTTTACCTTGCTTTGCCTTGAGATACATCAGCTCCACCACTGGCAAAATCAAGCCGTACAAAGCCGCGGCTGCAAGTGTCACGAGGAACCCCAAAACATACATCTTGGTGGACTCACCTTTGGGCCGGTCATTACTGGTGTGCATAGCCAAAACCCCGGCTCCCACGGTTAGCAAAATGGTGGTGTTGACTGAATATGCAGTAAA